AAGACTAACAAAGTACAGTAAATGGTAAAACTATTTGCACTTCAACCAGTGTGTTTCTAATGATAAGTCAAAATAAAATGATAACAGATACTAGTTTGCAGTATCAAGCAGCACAACAGAGTGTTTAGTAGAGCTAAAATAACTAGATGCGAATGACACCGGAAGCCTCGCACATTAGTTACAAAGTTACAATTAGCCGCAACCACTCTTACATTAAAAAATAAGGTGGACAGAGTAACTTTTACCACAAAATTTCCTAAATCATGTAATTCACTTGTGTTCCAAGCGAGTGACTGTACTAAGGGTAACATCACTAGTCTTACCATCAGCGATGATGCCTTCCCCTTTGGATATGATGAGGTGCAGTTCGGCCACTGTCTGAGTTCAACCGTAGTGAAGGACAACCTCGCTAGCCTGTGTGAAAAAATTGAGGATAGCGCCTTTCAGAGAATCATTTTGGACAAACTCAAAGAGGTAATATGACATGTAATAAAATCTGGTCAAATCTTCCAGGACAGTTTTAATATGTTGCTCTTGTCCATCAGATACTGCCAAATGGCCTTTCAGATGATCAGGTCCAGGTGCTGAAGTCTGTGTCTAGGAACGCAACGATGGCCGAAATAAGTAAATGGAACATCACTAAACCCGACACACTGGCAGCGCTCATGAATGCCAATGATGGCGAATGGTCCTCTGCACAGGTGCAGATTTTGACATGAATTTTCAGATGACTCTTTCTTATTTTACAGATGCAAAATATTTGGTTTTGTGTTCATGTGTTCATTTATCTTTCAGAGCGAACTAATCATTACCAAATACCTAAATGCCAGCAACAGTCTGACCGTCACTGAGCTGAATCTAGTGAAAGGACCAAATCTCTGCTCTCTGAATGCCAGAATATTGTCAACAATATTACCTGAAAGTATACGGTAAAGAAAAGTTCCATTACACAAGTCTTCAGTATGTCTAGGAACGCAACGATGGCCGAAATAAGTAAATGGAACATCACTAAACCCGACACACTGGCAGCGCTCATGAATGCCAATGATGGCGAATGGTCCTCTGCACAGGTGCAGATTTTGACATGAATTTTCAGATGACTCTTTCTTATTTTACAGATGCAAAATATTTGGTTTTGTGTTAATGTGTTCATTTATCTTTCAGAGCGAACTAATCATTACCAAATACCTAAACGCCAGCAACAGTCTGACCGTCACTGAGCTGAATCTAGTGAAAGGACCAAATCTCTGCTCTCTGAATGCCAGAATATTGTCAACAATATTACCTGAAAGTATACGGTAAAGAAAAGTTCCATTACACAAGTCTTCAGTGTCTCATGATCCTTCAGAGATCATTCAAATATGCAGATTTGCTGTTTGAGAAAAATAAATTATTATTAATAATAATTCGTCGTGCTGCTTAAAATTTTGGTGGAAGCCATGATATTTTTCAAGATTCTTTGATGAATAGAAAGCTCAAAAAAATGTGTAACATTATAAAAGTCTTTACTGTTACTTTGATCAGTTTAATGCCACCTTGCTGAATAGAAAAAATATCACTGACCCCAAACTTTTGAAAAGTAGTGTGTATATATTTTTGTTTCTTGCATAGTTTTACATGTTTGCATGCCATTTAAATGCTTAATCACCAGATTTATTTTTATTATCCTCAAAAACAGGGAGTCCGATGCCTTGGATGTGTCAAAATGTTCATCTGAGAAAAAGAAGGCACTCTTCACCATCGCTAACCAAGCATTTCCCATGTCCCCTGCAAGCGGTCAACGCACCATCCTGTCAGCCTTCCAGCTCATTGAAACCTATCTTGGTCAGAACGGCCTTCAAATGTCATTTCAAGCCTATTGAATGCACATACACCTTGACACATACACATGCGCATAAACAATTCAGAATGATGTCCTTCATCATGCCAATTTAAAAATACCAGCTTTGGTTTGCACAGGGATTCAGAGACAATTAGTTCCCATTAAGTATTTGCTATTTTGTTTGTTTTGTAGGAGGTGCAGATCTAGGCTACATTAGGAATCTGTCGTCATATAATGTCAGCATGAGCCTGTCCACTTTTATGATTCTGGATACAGACGTGATCTTGGTGAGCAAAGAAACACACTTTGTATTTTTATTTTATTTTATCCATTTATGTGTTTATCATAGATGCACTGTTTAATGTTCACAATTGTTTCGATAACACAGCATCCACTTGTTATGTATTCCAGGGCCTCAACATAGCAGAAGTAGTGGGTCTTCTTGGTAACAATTTGCAGGATCTAAAAACATTTGAAAACCAAACAGCCGTGCGAAGCTGGATCTCGCTGCAGTTACAGTCAGAGCTGGATAAACTCAATCTCACTCTGACTGGAGGAAAAGCAACAGCAGACACAACAACTGCTGCCCCGGTTACATCTAGCACCACTGTAGTAACGACAGCTACGACTGTTACCACTGTTAAAACTACTGCAGGCGCTCCAGGTGAGGTGTCACGCACACTGTAAAGATACGTGTTTCAAAAACAAAATACTTGAACACTGTTCACAGAGTATCTGATTCAGTTTTTAAATGCTGAAGTCTATTAGAAATCATTAATTACCTCTTTGTTGTTGTCATGTTTATTTTTCTAGGAATTGGACCCAGTGGATGGACAGTTTCCTTCAGCATTTTTATACTCATATTTACCATCATCAAAGTGGAGATTATATAGCAGCACTGACCCCAAATTAGCCACACTGTAATCTTACCAAGATGATATATCTGTGAGACTCTGCAGATGAAGGAATATAATCTGTTTATAATCACACATTTCTTTGTCATCCTATTGTTCATCGATTCATATTTTTTCCTTCGTGTACATGACAAATTGTCAAAAAGGAATGTTGCACTAATAGTCAAAGCAAAGGATATGTAGCGTTTTGATAGAAATACTTGTACAACTGTCTCAAACTATAAAACGTCTTATCTTTAAGTGTTTCGGACATTTAGAATCATTATATGAATTCCTTGTGCTTTTCTTGAATATGGCATAAAAATGTAAATTGTTCTATGATTGGTACCTGTTTAATTGTGATCATAACTAATAATGTAAAATGTAGTCATACAGAGTTTAATAAACGCTACTCTATGATGAACAAAACAGCTATTCGATTTGATTCTTTCTTCGCAGGTCTTTACAGTAGTTTATAAAGAAACAATGAATCAGAATGTAGGTATGTGGTATAGGCATCTTCCTCCCTACCTTCCTTTAAAATCAAGATGAGCTTGAATAAAATATTGAATTATGGTCTCTAAAAAAAGAATCATATTGTCCATTAGACGGGAAGGATTTGTTCAAGAAAATGTATTCGATTTTATACATGTTAAAAACGTTAGATATGAGGATAGTGGTTTCAGAACCCGTGGTGGATATAAAGACAACGACAAGGAAAAAGATGATAAAAATGGGACTCCGAAATGAGACCTATTTATAGATAAGTTGTAACGGCATCTTTAACCTAAATCGGAAAAATATATGGTCCATGCAACACAATTTTTCTTCACAAAGTAAAATAAATATCTTTTGAAATTCTTTCAAAACATTTACCCTGTCTAACAATTTTTAAAGAACAAATTCAATCTGATATTGACGCTAAATGCTACGTTTGTCATGACACTTAAAGCTCCTCTTCATTTCTTTTGGTCGAGGAGTTCTACGACTGCTGCTCTGGAAAGATGTTAGTTTGTTTATCTCAAGTATTATCTTGCGGTTTTTCTGTAAATCCCCAAACGGTTATTTTTGGATGTTTTGAAGCAGATCCGAGTGACTGCTTTATAATTTATTGCTTTTTCTATGTAGATTCTATATTCATAAATGTACATTTTTGAACTGGAAAGCTACTTCTTTGTGTTCTTACAAAAGATAAAACATTGATTACAATTTCACTTTCTTTTATCAAAAACACTCAGAACATGTACAATTTGTACAGCCTATATACAAACCCTTTAACTTTAATGTGTAATTTAAAAAGTGAAGTTAAAAGCAGCTTGTAAGTGTATGTATTTCTTGTCTCAGTGTTTAGGGCAGTTGTCGTTGCTAGGAAACGCTTGTTTTGTTTACTGTGGAGACGTGCTGAAATGGCGTTTGGTCTCGTACTGTATTGTCAGTGTCGTGCGCTTTGCTCGGCCATTTGTTGGGATAAACAGGAAAGTGTGTCCAGCTGAATTCAATTTGAGTTTTGTTAAACGAATTAAAAAGAAGCTTAGTTTACCGCGGAAGGAGTCTTGTGAAGACCGAAGAGTGTAAAGACCATCGACTCTACCGTGCGACTCCACCGGGCAGGACACCGTTGTAGTGCCGAAATTTGCACCCTGCTGTTTTATGACTGCGGTCAAGCCAGCCGCCAAGTCGAAAAGCACGGTCAATCTAGCCGCCACGTTATTTTTAGGGTCGCGCATAAACTGCCTATTACGGTAAAACCGTCAGAGAACTGATCTGAATGCAGTGCTCCTCATCCAGCGAACGCGATTTTTTCCCCCCAACACACAGTCAGTAACTGTCTGATGTTGAATACCAAAATAAAAGCCCTCCAATACTCATATTACAAAATACGAGCAAGAATATACGCTTGCTGCATCTCTACATTAAAAAAGCTATAAAAATAAAAGTTCTAGATTGCACAGACCAGCCCCCCCTCAGATTGAGAGTACACCTTCCCACGATGTCAGCTGCGTCGTTTCAGGACTGTCTGATGTGGAATTACAAAATAAAAGCCCCCCCAAATCTCATAAATAAGGTGCTGCATCTCTCTATATATATACAGTATACTGAATGTATTGTAAAGTAAGTAATTATTTTTTTCATTTTGAATAATGCCTTCTACCTTTAAGCCCCCCCCCCCCTTTTTTGTTGCTGAAATTCTTCATTATTAGTGTTCTATTTTTTTGTACTACTGTAAACTGAATGCTCAAATAAAGGTAAACATATAAATTGTATAAATTATACACACACATATATGTGTGTGTGTGTGTGTGTATATATATATATATATATATATACAAAATACATATATTTAATTTACACTTAAATATTCTGGTAACACTTTACAGTAAGGTTCATTAGTTAACATGACTTAAGAATGAACAATAATTCTACAGCATTTATTAATCTATTGATAGTTAATGTTAATTCCAACATTTACTAATGCATTATTAAAATCAAAAGTTGTGGTTGTTTAGTGAATGCACTGTGAATTAACATGAACTAACAGTGAACAACTGTATGTTCACTAACATTAACAAAGATTAATAAATACTGTAATAAATATCAAGCGTAGCGTTAGTTCTGGCAGGTCACGTTAGTCAAGCTCACATCAGCTGATCCCCATCAACCTATGGGAATACGACACCTATCTAAGCATTCATATATAAGGTCCCGCAGTAGTATCAGCAGTTTTCGCGTTGCTCAATAGCTAATTAGCCTCCTCCATCCCCAACTCCTCCTCTGTCAGTCGGGATTCAGCCTTCTGATTCTCCTTTGAATCAGACTAATTCTAAAATGTGTACATAACATTATTGAACTTTAACGATATCTGCATACATTTATGTTGGTTCTGTTCTGTTTACCCTGGGGGGTTATTGCTGCTCTCCCTGCTCTCATCCATGCTAGGCTGCATGTGCAGGGAGTTCGTTCCCAGAACAGAACCATACCGCCAATCCAAACTGTATGCTAATTGTCAATCATCTTTGACAATAGTGGTCCTGACAGAAGTATTGTTTGCTGTTTGTTCATGTTAGTTAATACATTAACTAACATTAACTAATGGAACCTTGTTGTAAATTGTTACCAATATTCTATAGGCCTATAGTGTATTAAAATGACAAAAAAAATCGTCTCTATTTACAACTCTAACATCGACAACATTAACTCACATTTTGATTTGACTTATTTCTACAGTAGAATATAATGTAATGTGTGCCTTTATTTTGAAACAAATCGTCACGTCCGGATCTTTTTTTCTTTCACGCGTTTGAAAAACAGCGCGTTTTTAAACAGCCCTGAAGATGATGGGAAGCAGCTTTCTGAGTGCGGACAGAGCTCGCAGTCCTCCAGTGAAAGTGTTGTCCAGCCAGCTGCGTGAAGGGACAGAGTGCCAGACAGCAGGCGGAAGGTCCGAGTATGTTATCAGACGACTGGGCCCCGGTGAGCAGCGCTCGTTACAGGTGTCCGTGGTCTGGATGCAGGGGACTGTGCTGGAAGTGCAGTCCGATCACAACACCGTGCTCATTCTGGACGAGACCGGGAACTTTGTCGTCAGCGGCATTAACAGCGTGCCGAAAGGAAAACCCTGCCTGAATGCCGGTTAGTAGCTTTTTAAAGGCAGCTCCTATCATATTTAATTAGGTTTCCTGAGGACAACTTTTTTTCTGATGTTCAAGCACATATTTTCACTGGGTCTTTATTGATGAAGAGAAAAAATATACAAAAAGTGAATAAAATATACGGTTAGTTTTTCTGTTTGCGTGTTTACATGTTCTATATGACAAAAAACCGCAACTCATGAATATTAATTAGGTCACGTGAGTGACAAATACACAAAGTAAATATTTTAAAGGGGTCATATGATGCTTCTTTTTTTTTAATCATTATTTTGTGTATTTGGTGTAACCAAATATGTTGACATGCTTTAATGTTCAAAAAACACATTATTTTTCAAATACTGTACATTATTGTAGGTCCTCTATGCCCCGCCTCTCTCAAACGCTTCGTTTTCTACAAAGTCCCTCCTTCTGACAAGCGCAGTCTGCTCTGATTGGCCAGCTGACCCAGTGCACTGTGATTGGCTGAACACCGCAAGCACTCGTCGGAAATGTAACGCCCCTTACCATAATCACGAGCTTCATCTTTCAAAATAAATGTAAAGACAGAGCCCGAAAGGGGAACAGAGTCACGTGACAGACACAGTGATGAAGCTGGTATGTGTTTGCAGTACACAAGCAATATCCACTCTGATCTCTCTCTCTCTCTCACACACACACACACACACGATGCGCAAAACTCCACATTTGAACAGTCTCCTTTAAACATTGAGGTATTCTTCTATTTTTTTTACTTTTGAATTTGCATTTGCTTGGAGTTCTCAGATTTACAAAGAAAACAAAGAGAGTTGTTGTTTTTTTAACCCACAGGTAAATATGTCATGGTTATGGGTGTCATCCAGTCACACAGTCCAGAGCCGGTGCTTCGTGCTGTGAAGATGGCAGATCTTTCTGAAAATGCTGTGATTCACAGGAAAAACTGGATCTATGAAGTAGAAGATCTCCAGCAGATTTTGCCCTAAATCTTTATTTGTTTGTTTCATGAGACTGATGCGATTGTTTTTGTTCTGGTGCAGCATTTATAATATTTGCCAAGCAAACAGAGGGAACAAACAGAAATTGCATTACATATACACGAAATGACTTTTAAGTGCGAAAGCATATTCATATTTATATCATATTTTTCTACATCAATTTGATTACAGAAAGAAGAACTTTTGAACTGTAATTATGCATAAATGTTACAGAGTTAAAAAAAAGATTAAACTTATACTAAGTTAAATCACAGTTTACAATGAAAAGACAAGTATGTTAAGGTATGTGTGTGTGTGTACAAATACATGTCAGTGTGGCACAGATAGTGACTTAACTCTGGCTAAAGAATGAATTCAATGCAACTTTTTCCCATTATAAATACATAGTCGGTATGCTATACAACTCATTCACATGTTCTGCAGCTGCTTCACATTCTCTTGTGGACTCCTAAAACGCTGCTGCAGTTCGGACAGTGGTGTGTCACATCCTTCAGGCTGTCCACACAGAAGGGAATCAGGCAGCAGCCGTAGATACATCTAGAACATGGGAGACATGAACCGAACAATCAGGGGAGTGTCTTTGTGCAAAAGAAGAAAAAAAGTGTATATTATGTAATGCTTCATCTAACCCAAAAATGGCCAGGCCTGCACAAGAGAGCCAAGCTAGTGCTCCTGATGTATACTCCAGGCGAGTTATCACGTTCTGTGTGCATACTGGGCAATGTGCCTGCACTGGAACACTTTCAAACGCCAGACCAGGCTGAACATACATGGTCTGAACAGAAACTTAAGTACAAAAACAAGAAAGCTTAGAAATACTGTGCTACATATGTTTACTATTATTCAAAGCCATAGATGTCTTATACATTAACTGTTCAAATATCAGGGTCTTAACAAAAAAGATGTGCTGGAATCAATGTGTATGAATGTAGATTTTAGTCGATGGAAATGTAATTTTTTGTTTACAAAAAAAAACCTGTTAATATGGTAAATAACTGTAAGGCTTAGGGAATACATTTTATTGAATGTAACTCTTTGTTAAAATATGTAATGTAAGATATATTTGGCAAATTAAAAATATTTTAAATATGATTTATATAAAAGAAAAATTGTTTTGTAATTGTTTGAATGTACATGAATTATATTAAAATATATTTAAAAGTTAATTATATAAAAATATATTTAATGAATAATTGTTTCAATTATGAACAAAATTATTTAATATATATATATATATATTGTAATTCCTTTTATAAAAGAAAATAAAATTAAATAATTGTTCAAATTTATATAAATTATAATATATATATATATATTCAAATACATTTTATTAAATATAATTTCTTATATAAAAAAAATAAAACCAGCAGGACAAATGCAAATCTACATGCAGAAAAAAACTGAAATACGCTTGGGTTTAACTGGAAAAACCAGATTCAACCAGCTTCTGTTTTTAGCTCGTCCAAGTTGGTTTATGTGGTTAATCAACAGCTCTACCAGTTGATGGGGTGGAAGTCAAATCAGGTTAGTCTTTAGATAAATCTACATTATTTGTATCTTTTGAGTGATGTATACAACCTTTTTCTTATAAATACTTGAGTTTTAAAATGTGTGATCGGAAAAAGCCATGGTGGAATAAGAGTAAGGCCATTACCAACAGGACAGGTGGCAGGTTGACCTTGTTGGGGTGGTGGTGGATACATCGGGCTGTACAATTGTGTTGGCACAGGAGGTACAGATGTCTTCATATCTGGAGCTGGAGCATAGGGCATTGGTGGGTACTGTGGGTTTGCTGCCAATGCCTCCTCATACGATGGAGGAGGCGGGTGTCCCACAAATGTTGATGTCTCTAGTGGGGGTGCGCTTGCCATCGCCTTGATGGGTGCTTTAAAAACAACAACAAACAGCTTTTTAGTAAAAGTTCTCAGAGTTGTAACTTCAAACCTCGAAACAATAAAGCGACGCTCGAACAAAACAAATAAGCAGAACATAACTTGGAATGAGAAACACTTACGGTTAGTGTCGTTTATTCAAGAACACACTCACGAACGATCCGACAAAACCTGCTCCTGCTTAGCTTTGTTACGCACTGTGTTTCCGCAACTGAGATGGGTGGGCTGAACTCTCTTAGGAGATTATCAGACCAAAACAGGACACTTTAGACCATAAGAGCTGTACATAAAGTCAATATGCAAGTAATATCTCAATAGATGTAGTAAGTAGCCATTGAGAGCTTTTTTGAGGAATGGGAAAAGACCTTTAGACGTTCCCTCAAGTTCCGTGTTTGGTCACATGAGTAACAGGCAGATCTCTCAGTCTCGTGATGATTCAACTCAGTTCAGCTAACAACTGCTTTAAGTTTATCGTTTATTCTTTTCTAGGGTTGACGATCTATATTAAACGCCTTTATATCAATATCTAACTTTTGGCTTGACTAGCATATGTGCAATTGATTTGTTATTGTTGTTGTTTTTTCTTTAATCACAATCGAACTTTATTTGCAATTGCATATATCTGGAGTCAGTAGTACAAAATAATAACAATAATAATAACAAATCAAACATAAAACGTGCCTCTACACGCCCTTTCTCTGAAAGACCTTCAAGTAAAAAAGTCAAGCATTTGGTATTTGTGAGTAACGTAAAAATAATTTATTCTTTTTATTATACTGGTGTGACTGTGTTTTGCATTTTCTATTTGTATCTTTTTCACCCAAGGGACTTCATGTGCGAAGATATAGTAATATACAGGGGTTCATATTCATAAATAAATAAACGAATCTCTTTCCATTTGTCTGTGAATGCAAAACAAATGTCACGCATAGGAAGACCGTGTACTGCACCCGCCTGTCTGAGCGCCTCCTCTACTGGTTAAAACACCATTGCTTTTAGGCTATTTGATTGGATATTTGCCCCTTTCAGCCGTGATCTCATTTCCTGAACAGTGACAAGCTATGTTTATTTATTAATTATTTTGATTTGATCTGCTCGGGCTGGAAATGTAAGCGACTGGTTTTAGCTGTTGCTGTATAAGTTATAAGACAACAGCTGGATCACTGGAGACACTGACACTGGAGTGTTTCTGCAGCTGAGCGTCAACTCTCGCCAATGCACGAAACGGTTCGCAAAATGTACATGAGCGTTATCCTTTGATTAAAAAAAAGCGGCCTAGTTTTGGTAAGCTTTAAATGATTTTTTCCCTTCATTTTATATCAGTAATTGTCCAGAAAAAAAACGGTCTCCATTCAGGGCTTGTTTAGATCGCATATAAATGGCTACTCTCTTTCTGTTCCAAAGCATTGTTTGGGGAAAAAAACTAAAAAAAACCCGGCTGCAACGATACTTGCTGCAGCCGTTTTCGTAGCTGGTTAGCTCTGTGTTGCATGAACGTCGTAAAGCCTTTCAGCGAGCGTCGCGTTAGCGCCAGCGGACAGGCGTCGTGCCAAGACGCCCTTCTCAAAGCGTTGCATAACCTGTGGCTTCGTGAAGGGAACCGTGACACGAGCAGTAATGGCTGTAAAGCTGCATGGAACGTTTCTCAAGAATGAGTGAGAGCTGATGGGAGAATCGAAGCTTTGAATCAATTGAACCAATTACTTGGCAAAACGATTCACTGTTTCGAAAACTCGGGCCAATAAACAAAAAGCATAAAAAAACACATTTAACAAACCAATTGCAAATGTTTTATTGGGAGTCTAATCTGTTAAATGCGATCAACAATACCATTAACAATGAATTGTCTGTATAATATGAATTATTATTCAATTGTAGCGTTTGTTTTGTCTGATTTATGGAGAGCTTGGTTAATCAGGCCAATAAGAAACTATTACCTATCACACTTGCTTTTTATTATGCAAATGTGTCATTAAAAATGTCCACACATGTATAAAACTGATCCAAGATCAGGTAAAAGCAATATAGACACTGGTTCATGAGTTTGCAGACATTATTCGAGAAATTTCTAAAGGGTTATGCTGTAACGAAAGCTAGATGGCTGAAATCCCATGACTTGATAAGTGCTTTGAATGTCTGCTTTGAAACGGATGCGTTGCAAAGGTTTCGAAGCTTCATAAAGCTGTGTTTCCGAAACAGTGAGAATTATTTTCAAGAAGTTACTCCGAATATGCGCTTATTGTAGAATCATCCTGATTCTTGTGTCTTTCAGATGTAGCCCAAACCTACAAGAACTCTGCAGAACTGCCTCTCGTGGACTTTTGAAGGCCTGTGGTTGAACTTCTCCTGACTGACAGGATGTCCATCACGGACCATAGCCCCACCACTGGGGTCGTCACGATTATTGTAATACTCATTGCCATTGCCGCACTAGGGGCTTTAATTCTTGGTTGTTGGTGCTACTTGCGGCTGCAGCGCATCAGTCAGTCTGAAGATGAGGAAAGCATTGTCGGTGAAGGTGAAACTAAGGAGCCCTTCTTACTGGTCCAGTATTCGGCCAAAGGCCCGCGGGTGGAGCACAAGACCAAGCTCACCCCTAATGGCACGGAGAGCCACACCTAAGTCCTCTCATGTGCATACTGTGTAGTGGGTTGTGTTTGTAGACTCCCGTCAGTCTTAAAGAATTTCAAACCTTAGTGTCACTCAACACTGAAATGAAACCACTCCACCTTTTAAACAAGCTGAAGAACAAAGACAAACCTAGTGCATGCAGTTGTCTAGTTGCTTTGACTTGATTTTTTCCCCCCGCCCATTTTGTGGTGGTAGAGCCCTGTTATAATGTGAAATTGACAATTGTCAAGAGTTTTTTGCAATGCTGTTTGTAAAGCCGTAACTGAGTTCTGAAGCTAAATCAAAAATTAAATCAATTTTTACTTTATTTTTCATCCAGAGCTGGCTCTGGGGTTAAGAAATTCAACACAAATTTTAATGGATTGATTTCACATCTATGTCAAAATTTTAGATGGTTTTGGGGCTTTTTATCCAGTTCATTCCATTTACTTTAAAAAATAAAGGTTCTTTATTGGCATCTGTGGTTCCATGAAGAACATTTAACATCCATGGCATCTTTCCATTCCACTAAAGGTTCTTCATAGTAGAAAAAAAGGTTATTTTAAGAATTGTTCACTGAAATGTTTTTGGGAAACAAAAAAGGCTCTTCTGTGGCATCGCTCTTTTTGTTTTAAGTGTTGAATTGCAATACAAAAAGAAACATGTTTTTCATTACAAATAAGATCTTCAGGATACCATAACTTGCCAAATTATCTAAACTGGCTTTTGAAAGCTCTTACATTATATTTAGACATGTTTAGAATCATCGTTTCATTAGCACTTTTTATCTTCAATGTGTGACATACAAGTGATTTTGTAAACAGCGTTTGCTGGTTCTGGTTTAAACCTGCTAGGAAACCACATAAGAATGAAAGAACGAAACCACATAAGAACAAAACCACATAAGAACGAAAGAACGAAACCACACAAGAACGAAAGCCAATGACAGGTCTTTTTATTCTTGTTGAATACTATTGTGACCACAGAGGCTTTTGTTTTTCGTGGTTGAGCACATTTCTAAATTATGAGAAGTCATTTGAAAGTGTAAATATTATTTTTATAGATGGCTTAATGTGCAACTGGATACTGAAATGTCATTGTCTTGAGTTTTTAACCTTTTCCTTCACAGTATTTTTTCGTGATATCGCAGTTTGCGCTGTTTGTACATGTAAGATGAAAGCGAGAGAAATTATTTATTTTTATACAATATTCATGCAAATGTTGTCTATAGAAGCAAAATCAACAGTCAGGCATATAGATGAAGCCTGAAAATGCAGCTGAAGTGATTTCACTAATATCAGATGTTTAGGGTTCCGTCATACATTTGAAGTCGACAGATTTGTTTGTGTATTATGTGCTGTTCGATATAAAGAAAAAAAAACAAGGACAGTACATGCATGTTAATTTAATCTGCATATTTGAGAAAAAGCAACTTTTTATCAGTAAAGCGCTTAGTATATCGCTTATGTCACTCCAGCCAGTGTGTCTGTCCAGTGTTTGACTGTACTGAACAATAAAACCTGTTACTAGGGAAATGCCTGCTTGTGAGTTTCATGTGCATTTGCAACTTTTCTATCCTAATGTAAGAACTCTTCTGTTAATGCTTGAAATATTATGCATAAGTGATAAGCATTTATGGACAGTTTTTTTAATGGGGGGACTGAGTCAAAAGTAAAAAAATGTGTATTGTATATTTTATTTTTATATTAATTTAGTAACATAAATATATCTTAGTGTAGGCTATATCTTAGAGTTTTATAATTCATTATCTTCTTGTCAATCCACCAGTTCACATTTACAACTGCATGTTTTCTGCGTAAAAATAAGGGTCGTTTTTGGCTTTGGTCTAAAGTTTAGACTTAAAGAGCAGAAGGGCTCATTGAAAAATGCAAATGCATTCTCTGCCAGCAGGTGGCGCTTTTCGCCAGGAATATAGCCGTTTCCTCTGTAACCGCAGTAAACAAAGCAGCCAGCACCTGACTTTGAAACTTGCAGCGCTCATATTTAATCAATTAAATAGCCTTTTGCAGTGTAAGCTATATCTCATTATACATGTTAATATACATTGAATGCGTCAATCGTGTGAGAAAGATGCGTTTCATACAAGATCTGGCAACTGGACAACCTTGGAATTTGTTGTTGTGTTTATTCATATAATGAGGTTTGGCCCATACAAATTATGGGAGTTTTACCGGAAGCGAATGTAGCAAACATATAAAATACGCCCAGTGGGATTTAAAAATTTTTTTTTAAGAAAGATTAAAAATATGGGAGAAATACGGGAAAATATTTAAGCGGGATAGAATGGTAAAATATGGGAGAATCCCGGGAAAACCGGGAGGGTAGACAGGTACAGTGTGTGTGTTGAATTTCTCTCTCTGATCAAATAATCTGTCATTTAAGTAACATCACTAGCATCTAACAAGTTCAGACGAAGGCAACCCACAGTATGTGCAGTGCAGAATTGTGAAGGTCACGCATTTCTAAGCATGTGTGCAGTGCACACTCTATTCATCAGTATTGTTTGAAGGTTAGTTTACCAAATAGTTTTTGCAACTTGTGCATCAATAAAGCCTTTTATTTGGAAAGACAAATTAAAATAGTTGATCTACTTTTTACTTTAATAAAAAACAAAAAACAAAAAAAAACAGTAATTTGTGAAATATTACCGTTAAAAGCAACTTTTCTATTTTAATATATTTTGAAATTCTATTTATTCCTGTGATGCAAGGCTGAAAATTCAGCATCATTACTCCAGTCTTCAGCATCACATGATCCTTCAGAAATCATTCTAATATTAATATGACTTATTTGAAATAGAAATCATGGTAACAATATTTTACTGTCACGTGACCGCTTTGATGAACTAAACACATACTTGCTGAATATATATATATATATATATATACCAGTTTCATTAGATCAAATAAGCGTTTAAATAAAAAATACATGATCCTTCAGAAATCATTCTAATATTAATATGACTTATTTGAAATAGAAATCATGGTAACAATATTTTACTGTCACGTGACCGCTTTGATGAACTAAACACATACTTGCTGAATATATATATATATATATATATATATATATATATATACCAGTTTCATTAGATCAAATAAGCGTTTAAATAAAAAAAAAAATAAAAAAAACATCATTACAGGGAATGCACAGCAGATCCAACCCATAATGCATTTATTAAGATACAGAGATGCAGCTGGCAGGTCATCGCCTATTCTACACGTCTTGACATATAATTCGCCAACAGCATGCCAATTCCTCTTTTCAATTTTCATTAATACACACACTGTTATGGTAGTAATTCCCTACAGCTTTGCTTTCAGGAACTATGGAAACTGAAAAGACGACGACTTTGCGTTTACGTAGGTCCATATATAACACCAACAGGCATTAACACAGCAACCACACAACATAGTAATTTGTTGTGGATGAAGAACAACAGAGATTCAGGACCCAACATTCCAAAACAAATCGCAGTTAAGAAAAAAGAAAAGGGTGGGAATGACACAGGAATCTCAGATACGCTATTTCTTGCCATACGTATATACTGCACTTCTGCTTTGGGTTTCAAGAGCAAAAGCCAGTTCCTGAAAAGTGATCCGCTGTTTGCTATTTAATAAAAGAAACATAAAAGGCGATGGTGCGTTTATTTTTTAACCAATGATAAAAGCAACAAAGCCGTGATTACGCTGAACAAGGCCAGCTCTGTGCTTTCCGTGAAAACCCAGGAGGAGGATGTCCTCCTCCTCCAGAGAGCCACGCCACGCTCGCCGGATTCAATACTGAACTCAAGACATCATCGTTCCAGAACACCCTGCATTAACAGATTCAGATGAATTAAAACATTACTTAATATCTTTAAGCAGAAAACTATATTTGCCAAAGTCGTTATCATTTGGTGCTATCAAGTGATCCTTTCTGGCTTTGGCAAGTTTCATCAAAAGGAATTCTCTTCTGTCCTTCCATTCCTTCAGCTCCTCATCTCCATGTGCCAGCTTACAAAGCTCCTCCTCCGTGCAGGTGCCCTTGAGGAACCTGGAGCGAATCGAAACCAATCCGTTAGCGACAGCTGTTAATGAGATATGAATAGCATCACACATTAGCGTTAGACTGACCGTTCGCAAACTCTGAAGGCTCCAGTGGGGAAGCGATACTGCCAGCAGTTCTGATCGTCTTCAGAGTTGAACACTCGTTCTTTGTGCTTCTCGGAGGTGATATGCTGCTGCCACTGCTTATCACTGTTGCAGTTCTTCCCACACAACCAGCAATGGTTGCCAGCCTGATGAAACAGCATTTAGACGTTATGAGGAATGTAAATATGAAAAAAAGATCTGTGTGAGAATGAATTGTGGTGTTCAGTCACTTTCAGAAAAGAAAATGTGTAAAAATGTGCAGCAAGTTACTACTGAATTCTTATATATACACACATCGATGATATATTCTACACCTTCACAGATAAAGACTTTGAGATGAAATATGTTCAGTAAAACTGAAAGATTGAAGACTTGAGAGAAACTCGAATACAACCATTACAAAGTATGGGGTCTATGAAATTCTTTAATGTTTTTGAAAGAAGTTCTTTAAAACAAGTTTTCTATTTGAATATATGTTATGTATGTAATTTATTAATGTGATGTAAAGCTGAATTTTCACCATCATTATTCCAGTCTTCAGTGTCACATGATCTTCAGAAATCATTCTAATATGCTGATTTGCTGCTCAAGAAACATTTATCATCATATTATTATCAATGGTGAAAACAATTGTGCTGCTTAATATTTTTGCGGAAACAATGATGGATTTTTCTTCCAGGATTATTTGATAAACAAAGTTCAAAAGAACAATGTATTTGAAACAAATCTTTTGCAACATTAATTAATCAAAATTGACAGTAAAGGAAATAATATGCTGATCGCAAATTTCTGAATGACAGTGTATATTTATAAATTTTTTTTATAATGAATTCTATTAGTCATTAAAAAAATGATTATATAAACGCTTATCCATGAACATTCAAATATAGATGAAAACTTCATAAATCATGTACTATAAATGTAGCAAATGTTTTTAAATGTATTAATACAAATTTATATAAATAATCAATGTGCCACACACAAACCACCTCATGTCCCCACCCCCCAGAGTCTGTATGCTGTAATTTACTTATGAATATTAATTGCATTTTGTGACATTTGGCCCAGTAGGCCAAACTCACTGCCTGAAATACAGATGTTGAGTGTGTGCTAATCAGTTGGTGAACTAACACGATTCATGAATATTTATTAAGTTATGACTCAATGCTCCCAATAAGGTTACCAAGCAATTCTAGTATGACACAATTAGTATTTCGCTCACTATACTCTACCTCATAAATTTTACATACAGGACGTGTTTAGTGTTTAAACAGCTAGAGGGAGCACAACACACTGGAACACATTGCAGAGGTCGAGATGCATTTTTAAGCTGAACTATTTTTACCAAACTGAAAATAGAGAGAGACGCAGCAGAACAGAGAAAAACATGCAAACGTGAGATAAAAGAGCGCTGAGTGTGCGCGCCATTCTTGATGGTCAGCGTGTTGCAATTCCTTCACTACATGTACAGGACACTCCAAGATAGACCAAGGTTGAGTCAGAGTAAGACGAGTGTGATAGTGATGTGTGGAAATATGGATGCTGCTCAAGTTTCCATACCACTTCCTCAGCATAGTCCGTGGGCATATGAATCTGTTTGCCATTCTCTCGGGTAGCGCTGCTGCTCTCCTCGCTCCAGCCCGGCTTCTGAGACTGCAGCCACATTTCATACAGCTGCTCCATGTCTGCAACTACATACACACAAACATAAACGAAAGGGATGCATGATAAATCACTCACTACACCAGTATCTGGAAACACTGAGGGCCAGTTGTTCAAAAAGTTCAGAATGGATCAGAATGATCTATATTTTGAAATCCCATGTTTTGCGATCCATGATCAGGTAAATCCATCTTCTTTGCTGGTTTTTCCAAAGCAAAATTGGATCACAATAATCCAGATACACAGTTTTTCAGATGACAAAATCTGGATTACTAGTGCTCTATGGAGCCCCAAAAGGGACATGGTGATGGAAAAAAATATACGAGACGGAAAAAAAACAAATTGCATTAAAAAAAAATGATAAATCACTCACTACACCAGTATCTGGAAACACTGAGGGCCAGTTGTTCAAAAAGTTCAGAATGGATCAGAATGATCTATATTTTGAAATCCCATGTTTTGCGATCCATGATCAGGTAAATCCATCTTCTTTGCTGGTTTTTCCAAAGCAAAATTGGATCACAATAATCCAGATACACAGTTTTTCAGATGACAAAATCTGGATTATTAGTGCTCTATGGAGCCCCAAAAGGGACATGGTGATGGAAAAAAATATACGAGACGGAAAAAAAACAAATTGCATAAAAAAAAACAAATAAAAACATTTTACATTAAATATATTATTTCTGTTTGCTATTGACAGCTGATTATTTTATGGCACCAAAATCTCTTTTTAATTTACTGTAGGCTACTGAAAGGCTTAAGAGGTAGCCTCCTAATGCCTAACAGTCTTATGTATCCATACATATACATACATTGAACCGGTTTAAAAGTTTTAGTACATTTTTGTTCCGGAAATCCAGATCCTGATGTTTTTTGGATCAAAGGTATCCCATTGTTACGATACAGTTTTGAACACAAACTGATTATTTGATCCTGATCAAAACCAAGATTGGATTTTGTGATCTAATGCATTTTCAGAATCCTTTTTTCCCCCCCAAGATTTGAACCCATCCGACAGCCGAAATCTAAATCTAATTACTTTTGAACTACTGGCCATGGGTGATTATACGAGTCAATCTACTGAAGTATTTGAGAATTTAAGGCTTAAGCCTAGTCCCAGACTAAAATGCATGTCTGAGCCGTTTTGTCTCAAGATGCACACCAGTAATGTTTTTTCTAAGGAACGTTTATAAAAGATAATTAAATGTCCTAATTGAACTATGGCCTAAACCTGGCTTAGTCTAAGCCCTGACTGTGAAACCAGGCCAATATCTACACTTCAAAAAAAGTAGGGGTCAGTGGAAATTCATAGTTTTTTCAATGAGAACAAAACGTAAACTGAGATGGATGAAAAAATTTTACTGTATAAAACGCTGTATAAAAAGGTGACCAAAATTCACAGTAAAGACATTTACATTTTTGTCTCCACAAACATATTAAGCAGCACAACTGTTTTCAAGAGTGAAAAGAAATGTTTCTTGAGTAGTAAATCAGCATATTAGAATGATTTCTGAAGAATCATGTGAAAATTCAGCTTTGCATCACAGGAAGTAAAGGGTTAGTTCACCCAAAAATGAAAATTTGAATTTTTGGGTGAACTAACCCTTTAAGTTTCAAATAAAATGAAAATTAAAATAGAAAATAAAATGTTAATAATGTTTCACAACATTACAGTTTTTACTGTATTTATGATTTTTTTTTTAAATGCAGCCTTGGTGACCATTAAAGACACTATAAAATCTTACTGACCACAAGCTTGAACAGTATTGTATGTATGAGCTCACAGCCACTAGGCTGTCGTTTAATATTGACTGATGTCAACAGAACAGGAAAGATAGGAGGAAGAGCAAGTTAGATTATCTTGATTAAACATTACTTTAAACAAACAAACATAGTACATTATAATCCTGCTCATTGTATTGATTGTCATCAACTGAAAACTGATGCACATGCAAAACATGCACTCAAATGCAAAGTGAACTTACTATTGTTATCTTTCATGAAGGTCCATAGATCTCTCTCCTCTGTGCTGTGAGCAAAGGTGCAGTTTCCAATATACTGACACTTTTTGCCAGCTGCCACATGCAAACAAATCTGCAAACATCCAGGAATAACAATTATTCAAGAGACAGTGGCGAGATAATTACGAACCAACAATTTCTTCTTATAATGAGAAAAAAAAGGCCAGTTTTTTAGCATGAAATAAAAATATTAAACTTACGTCAAACTGAGCAGGAATAGGCTTTTTGGTTGGGAGAGGTCGAACTGTAGTCCACTTTTTCCGTTCAACAGAACTAACCAGAACCACCCGTCTATCTTTAGACCAACTGGTCAACAGAAAGTGACAAATTATGAGATATTATCAGAATACTAAACTTAAAATTGCAGTTTTGTTAAAGGATGTTCACCCAAAAATTCTGTCTTAATTTATTCAAATGGTATGACTATTTCTACCATGACACAAAGGGACAGTTTTGAAGAATGTACTGGCCATTTTTACCTATAAAATGAAAGTGGATTCACATTCTTCTATTCACTTTCATAATCACTTATCCTTTAGTGTTCCACGAAAGAAGGTTGTGTGGGTTTGATACAAAATTAGAGTAAATGATGACAGAATTTTCATTTTTGGATACACATGAGCTGGACTCACGGATGCCGGGCCTTTGCACTGCAGTACTTCTTGTTTTTGTCTGGCTCGCTGACTTGGCCGTTCCTCCAACATTGAGCACATACAAACTGCATCTTCAGGTTAGCTGGACCAAATCTGCACAGGGTCGGTGGAAGCTCCTATGGGATTGGCATAATATCATAAGACATCTCTCACAGGTATACACTATCTATCAGTATGCATGTATAAATTCTACCTGGGCATGAACAGCAGCATCCATATTCCAATATTTCTGTGACTCCTGGACAATACCTTCATGTGTGATACCTGAAACAAACCAACACAACAGTTAAGCGTTTCCTGTCAGCCTTCATGTCGGATAATTCACGAGTCCCGAGCGGTAGCTCACCTCGTTCACTCTGCATCATCCATACTTTGAGCTCGATGAGGCTGTGTGCATAAAAGCAGAAATCCTCTCGCTGGCAGCCGTACCGCACCTCATGCCTACACAGATCCATCTGGCAATAAGGGATGTATGGACGGATTTTGGAGTACCTGACTGTTTTGTCCCTTAAATAGTGTACAAGGCACCTGAGAAATAAAAAGTGTTAGTCTTAATTCCACATTACTAAGAAAAAAAAACGAAGGTCTTACCTAGGGCCAGACAGTACCGAAAAAATGGCAAATGTCACCACTACGTGGCTCTCTGGAAGGCTTTATGCAAAAATATTTGACCCAATAAAAATAATGACTGCTAAATTCAGGTTAGGTGACAAGGCTGCTAGTCCCTTCGAAAAGACACGCTAGTTGAGAGTTTCGTCTAAAGGAGTTTCGTCAAAGCTGACTAAAAGAATGTATGGACGGATTTTGGAGTACCTGACTGTTTTGTCCCTTAAATAGTGTACAAGGCACCTGAGAAATAAAAAGTGTTAGTCTTAATTCCACATTACTAAGAAAAAAAAAAAGAAGGTCTTACCTAGGGCCAGACAGTACCGAAAAAATGGCAAATGTCACCACTACATGGCTCTCTGGAAGGCTTTATGCAAAAATATTTGACCCAATAAAAATAATGACTGCTAAATTCAGGTTAGGTGACAAGGCTGCTAGTCCCTTCGAAAAGACACGCTAGTTGAGAGTTTTGTCTAAAGGAGTTTCGTCAAAGCTGACTAAAAGTAATTGAGGATGGATAATTTCAACGAACTTGATGAACCCGTGATTATCTTCTTCGGGGGGTAAACTTTTCACGGAACCTTGCTAAAGCAGCATGTTACAGTGGTGAGGGAAAAGCTCCCTGTATTGCGTGTAATCACAACAAAGTTTGTCAGGCGTCTACACTGTCAGCTGAGGAGATTACAAAGATTAACCAAGTGTTATCTGCTTTTGCTAATAAACTACCTTTTAATATGTTAAAAACATACTTTCAATGAACTTTAATTTTGTAAGTTACCTGTATTTTTTGTGTGTTATTATTACTTAATCAAAACAACCCAACTGCAGTTTGATTGATATTACTTGGAATAATATAAATAATTTTTCCACAATAAAAATAAAAAAAACATTTATGAAAATGAATAAAAACAGTTATCCGTTTTTGTAAATGAACTCTTCATATGTTGTAGTGTATTTGCTCTGAAATGGCTTTAATGGGTGAGAAACGGTCACATACTTAAAAATAATCACATTTTTAAATGCTTAAAATGTAACAATAACATATAATTTTATTTCAACTTTGATTATAAAGAAAAACTTTTTTTATCCTTAATAGCATATTACTATTTTATTACATAATAGTACATTATAATAAACAAGTATGTATTATTTTAATAGTATACTTGTTTGTATTAATAACTGATCTTTTTAATAGAATATTATTTACTGAAATACCTTGCAGAAATCAGTCTGTCATAAGACTCTCATGCAAGTCATGACAATGTGTGGGTGTGAAGCGATATAATTTTATTTCAACTTTGATTATAAAGAAAAATTTTTATCCTTAATAGCATATTACTATTTTATTACATAATAGTACATTATAATAAACAAGTATGTATTATTTTAATAGTATACTTGTTTGTATTAATAACTGATCTTTTTAATAGAATATTATTTACTGAGATACCTTGCAGAAATCAGTCTGTCATAAGACTCTCATGCAAGTCATGACAATGTGTGGGTGTGAAGCTGACTTACTGACACAACAAAAAGACACTGAATATATCGCCCAGCCCTGATCTGGCCAGATGTAATCATTCATTCAGACCAACAACATTCACTGCAAAGCATGAATCTGCACATTTAGTGTCTGGACATGTCTTCACAAAAAGAGATGCTTACTTCTTTTCCTCAAACGCATGCTTTGTCACTGGGTGAGAGCATAGACCAGGGTTGTCCTTATTGGTTTTGCTGATTATTCGGGGTTTGTGATCAAAGCACACCTACAGACCAAGTCACACATGTTAGGTATTTATACTGCTTCTTTAAACTTTAAACCAACGCAAATTTCAGCAATGAAGAAAAACAATCCCCTAAAAATCCTTTCTTTGAAAACCGGTCATTCAAGTTCAATGATGAAATGAAAGGTGTGTTAAAGAGACACAGTCAGCTGCTAAAAAACAAATCTTCAACAGGAAAAAGGGCTAACTCATAAACATGATTTATGTTGGTCAGCTGACCTTCAGGTGTATCATGGATTAGTTATTAATTACAGCTACAATAAGCAAGCCATTCAAACAATGGCACACTTTACCTCACAGAGGAACATAAATATCCCATGGTGCTCCTGTAAGATTTTGGGCACGGTCAAACTGATCTTCGGTTTAGACCCATAAGGATCACACAGACTTTCCCTGCAGATGAAGCCTTTGCGTTCAAGCGTCCACACATCAATTTCCTCTTGGCAATAAGCAAAGGTACAATGGCCAAGATACTGACATTCTTGTCCCATCAAACAAGGCAGCAGCAGGGTCCAAAACTAACATTTGTCAAGAGCCAAATTTGATTATTACATTTAAAAAGCACTACACAGCACAACATAGGATCTACAATATAATACATATTAAAGTTCATTCATTGAATGACACAATGACCCATGCAAGTCATCACTAATATTCCAGGAAACGTGTTCAATAATTTCACACTGCTGGGTAACAAATATTTATGGCTGGTACATTATCTTAATTCACTCAGCATTTTTAGGTGAGGCAAATGGCTAATTTTGGACCCTGGTTGCAAGTATGTTGAGACAGCTAAAGTCCAAAGTACACTTCTGTATTGATACATGCACTTGCAGTGTATGTATACAGCTTTTTTAACATTTACGCCATTTGAGAACATGTGGAGAGGCGCTCGACACATATAAACTAAAAAGTTTCATTTGTGTCCAGAGCACTGCACTTTTTCTCTCTAGAAGTTATAAGCCATTAAAATGTCTTTGTAGTATTTTATACTAGATTTCAACACGGGCATCTATTGTTGTTGCGTCTCCAGTAGTTTGTTGTTGTTCTGCCCTCTCAGTTTCTTTTTTCTATTGCGAAACAGCAGGCACCTTGTGGACAAAATTAGTGCAACACATTTGGCTGCACATGTACTAAGCGGTTGAATAGGAGCATAAGAGCGTAAGTATATGAGCATATTGAATATTGCATTACACGCACTGTATGCATCCCCTAGCACAGTGGTTCTCAAACCTGTCCTGGAGTACCCCCAGCCCTGCACATTTTGTATGTCTCCCTCATCTATCACACCTGATTCAACTCATCAGCTCATTAGTGGAGACTGTAAGATCTGAAGTGGGTGTGTCAGATATAGGGAGACATACAAAATGTGCAGTGCTGGGGGTACTTCATGGAGAGGTTTGAGAACCACTGCCCTAGCATATGTACAAAAACCAAAGTATACTTTGGGATTAAGATGAGACGAGCCATGATGAGCAACACACCTGTCGGAGACTCTGAAATTGACAAACTATCCAATGAATCCAGAGGTGATGAAAATGTGTCCAGACCAAGAGAATACGATGAAATTGGCTTGTGATACAGTACGGGCAAATTGACTGTGCAATGTGGAGCCATACTCAAAAACGGATGGCTCAGGTGGGAAGGCATGAGCAAAGAACTCTGTATCGAACTACTGACGGCAATACTGGTCGGTAAAGGAATAGGTCCCTCCACTGTGGGAATATTCTGGATGAAAAGAAAAAGACAAACATTAACATGATCACTTGTATGCACTCAAAACACAAGCAGAAATGCGGTCCTCCTCAAGCTTACCAAAGAAGACTCAGGAGGACTTGCTCTGTCCAACAGCTCATCCAGATCATCCCCAATAATATCGGCATCATAGTCCAAGTGGGTGTCTGGTACTGCGTAAGAGTCATTAGGCCTGGTTCCATTAACCAGAGGCATATGAATGGGCATGGGAACAGGCTCTGGATTATTGGTCTCAACCGGGACGACCGGTGGTGAGATGAAACCGACAAGAGGCTTAGCCTTAGAACACAATGGCATGCTGACTGGTACCATGCCGCCCACACTCTGCATATATTGGCTCACTTCTATGGAGACAAAGAGGCGTTAATGAGTGGACTTATTCAAAGATGTATTATATACATTGTAGGGTTGGGCGATGTCTATCAAATTTGTCTACAATGTCTACAGTGAAACATCGCGATGGATGATGACGTTGGGGAGGGAGGAATGTTTGTCATCAGAAATATCCGCTGATGTCAACGCACATCATCTGCATGCAGCCCAATTTTTGTGACCGTGCGGATGGTCTGCATACAACAGAGCAGGCACGAGGTGAATGTTGAGAGAGTGAGTCAAGTAGGTGATACTGCACATGTGTCAAACTCATCTGGGGTTGAGTTTACTTTAAAAGCTGTGTGGACGTGGCTGAGCGCGAGACGTAACAAAACATGGAAAGTGAGGTTTACCCAGGCCTAAGGAATGATGCGGAGCAGACGTCAGAGGATTAAAAACTGAATTATTATTAGGCTATTTTAATTTTATTGTAATATATTTATTATCCAACACCCACGATCTGACCCGCATGTTCTAGCCTATTTAATCCAATTTAAATAATTTCGAATTGTTTTTAGTTTGTGTAAAACATTTAGCCTATAGTTCGTTTGCCATTTTTGCACAATAAAATCCTTACTGTTTAAATTGTGTTCATTGAACAGTTTTGAATGTAATTTGTATTGTGTGATCGGAAACAACTTCATTATGTTATTATTATGGAATCAGAAACAACTATTTGAAGTAACTGTGCGGAAATTGAAAGAATGCATTGCACTGGGCGATATAGTGGGATTAAGATGTTTTTTGGCAGGTGGGGTTGCGGGGAATCACGATGCCGGCTCAACATCGTGATGTCTGTCAGCCATCGACAACAGATGATGGCATCGCTTATCAGACCAACCCCTAATACATTAGCGTTCAGAAGCGTTGAAACAGGTCTCTTATGCTTACCAAGGCTGTATTTATTTGATCAAATATACAGTAAAAATGGCACATTTGTGAAATATTACTACAATATAAAATAACGGTTTTCAATTTTAATATTTTATAATGTAATTTATTTCTGTGGCTGCAAAGCTGAATTTTCAGCACCATTACTCCAGTCTTCAGTGTCACATGATCTTCAGAAATCATTCTAATATACTGATTTGGTGCTCAGGAAACAATTCTTATCAATAATGAAAACAGTTGTGCTACTTAATATTTTTTAATATATGACTATCTAAATTTTATTTTCTGGATTTTTGATAAATAAAAGAGAAAATACGTTTATTTGAAATGGTTCCTTTGTTTCTTCTTGATCGGTGAGTTGTGTTGATTTTGCTTTGTTTCACACAACTAATCTGTGTTGGCTTTTGCTTGAACATGCTGCGGCCGGCATGCATAACAGATTCTGCCATCGTCACTGCCAGGATTGTGTACGTACGTTTGGGGCGGAGTTATCAAAATAGGGATGAGGTTCTGTTGGGTATGGGTGTGTTTGTTTCGATGCTTTCAAATATCAACATCATTTGGCAAAATTTGCTTTAACTTCCTTTGCACCTTTAACGTCCTTAATTTTTTTTTTTACAAAATTTACTGATACCGACACTTTTGAACAGTAGTACACATTACTCATGGTAGTATACACTGACTTACCCATTTCAATATCCTCTACGGAGGCAGAGCTCTGAGAATGCTGTTAAAAAATAAAGCAGCTCAGTAGGGTTGCTGAAATTCATTTTAAACACACACACACACACACACACACATATCCAGCATCTTACCTTATCATTACCCGCTCCTGATAGACTTGAACCAGGCAAAACATTTAAGGCAGGCTGATTTCAGGAAAAAACAAACAAACAAACAAAAAAGACAGGTCAGGGACAAACAATTACAGATTTTGAGCTTTATTTTCCCTGGCACACTTATAACCAATTATTCTAACTAAATACTTTTTCCCCAATTATTAGGGATGGGCGATACCACTTATTTTGTTTTCGATACGATACCGATATTTTTCAAGGCAGTATCGTCGATATCGATTCGATACTTCTGAACTAAACTTTTAAATTATGTAATGTATTAAATTATTAAGAGTAAAATGGGTAATGATAAGCACTTAACTATGTTTAAAATGCATTTTAACATTCAATATGCCTTAATTGTAACTTATTAGGTTATATTTTTGTTTACACATGGTTCAAACATGTTTTTTGTTTACACATGCAACCTTTTTATTCTGACAGTGTATGATTTCTATTAACATTACAGAATAGAACATGTAATGTAGTAAATTATTAAGAGTAAAATGGGTAATGATAAGCACTTAACTATGTTTAAAATGCATTTTAACATTCAATATGCCTTAATTGTAACTTATTAGGTTATATTTTTGTTTACACATGGTTCAAACATGTTTTTTGTTTACACATGCAACCTTTTTATTCTGACAGTGTATGATTTCTATTAACATTACAGAATAGAACATGATCAATATTATCTTTCAACGTTCAATTTAAATAACTGTAATTGCACAAACTATCTAGGCTACAATTTCAGTTTGTTTATTGTGAAATAACTCTGTCCTTCTGTCCTCTGATAAGCATTGTTCAGGGCTGCCGTTCCCAAAAGCTTTAATGCTTTCCTATGATACTTTTGGGAGACGCAGCCCTGTTTGAATGCACTTTTAGAAGTGAGTGAACGCTCTCTGTGATTGATTGATTGATTGATTGATTAGTTCTGTCTTGCAACATTTGCGTGTTCAGATGTGCAGGAAAATAGTTCTATCCTACACAATTACTTGCTAATAAATGTTATTCGTACAATTCAATGTATATTGTACGAATTTTTTGTTGTTGTTAAATTAACAAAATCACTGGTAAATAAAACACCTTAGTATCGATATTTTTAGTTTGAGTATCAATACTTTCGATACTCGCAGCAGTATCGATATATCGATACTTTGGATCGATAAGCCCATCCCTACCAATTATCTATATTATTTACCTTGCTTCTGACATAAGCCTTACGGATTTTCAATCCCAACATTTTGGCAAGCTCCTGGGTCATTTCAATCACGCGAGTATCCTGCAAGGCAAATGAAACATGAAGAACCAAGGAATGTAAAAAGGCTCGATTAAAAGCTAAGAGCAAAGTGCTCTGACCTGAGGCACTCCCATGGAGCATTTAGCAACCACCTCATAAGCCTCTTGATGTCTTCCCATTTCTTTTAGACATCGAGCTTTCCGGTAAAGTGCTCTGTAGTTGCTTTCATTGAGTTGAAGAGCTTTTTCAGAGTCCTCTAGAGCTTGATCGTGCAGTCCCTGCATCAATAACCACAAATACATTACAGTGAGTTTAAAAACACTGCATGGAAATACACTGCTTGCTTGTACATTTCCATTCAAAAGCTTGGGTTTTAATATTTTTAAAATAATTATCTTATGCTTAGCAAGGCTAAGATAATTACACTTTAAAATAGTTTTCTACTGCAACAGGGCTCCAGACTAACATTTGAGAGCAGTGGCACCAGCACCACTAATGGCGCTTTTCCACTGCATGGTACGGCACGGTATGGTTCACTTTTGGGGGGTTTTCCACTGGGTACAGTACCTGGTACTTTTTTTAGTACCACCTCGGTTGAGGTTCCAAGTGAACCGTACCGTTACCAAAACGTGACGTGTAAACTCTGCTGATAACGGATTGGCCAGAGAGAATCGTTACTACCTGCGTCACTGAACTTCCAACATGAGACACAACAGAACCGCTAGATTTAAATCAGCACAGCCGGCGAAGGATCGAACGCAACTATTTTGAATGAGCGCACATTTTTTTAACAACCAAAAAGTGGCTGTTTCGGGGTCTGTTGAGGAAGTACAGACGTTCCTCTCGTTGATAGCCGAGGAGCGAATCCAGCAAGAGCGACGCTGAATGAAAACGTTTTTCAGGCAGTATAGGCAGCGCAACTAACGACATGTGAATAATCCCGTCCACTCTAAAGTGATACTAAACTGCAGTGGAAATGCAAACCGAGCCGAGTCGAGCAGTGCCGTGCCGTACTGAGCCGTGCCAAGAGTCATACCACGCAGTGGAAAAGCGGCATAAGTTCTACAGATGGTGGTGCCAGAAGCAGATTTGGTAGCGCTGGGGGTGGTGCGTGGGAGTATTAAAATATAGATAATTTTATCATAAAATTACTATTGTTTTGCAATAATAAGTGCAGTTACTAATAATATTACATGTTAATTTCTTGTTTATTTTTCTTTTGCTTATCGTTTATACAGATTTGACAGTAAAGCACTAAGCTTGAGTTAAGATGCATACAAAATGTACTTTTATTAATAACAGTTTTTCTAATTTTTATATAGAAAATGTATATATTCCACTCTTATTAAATGTACCATTATTCTTTTATGGAACTGACCAACTTCAGTGATTATGTTTGATTTGGTAGCAAATTGAAGAAAAGTTTGTTTTTCAAGGCACTTTGTGACTTTTCTTCATACACACAAAAAAAAGTGTAAAATTCTGACAAAATCTGATTTCTTGATGATTTGATATTTTATAATAGTGATTTTATTTCAAAATTTAGAGAAAAGGTAGAAATGAATGACTAATAAGCCAATAAGTGCTCCTCTGCTGCTGTCAACTGGTTATAACTGTGATTTGATGTATTTTTTAAATTTTACATAAGTGTTTGTTTACCACAAAGTATATTTTGGTCATCCCATTAAAAACAACATTCAAACTGGATCATTTTAGAGATTTAAAGTGCTGGAAATAGTTGTGTGAAATGCTTGAAAGTCATTGAAAAGTGCTTGAATTGCTCTCTCAAAACGTAGTACTTCTCACTGGATCTCGCAGCACTGTTGCATCTGTGCAGTAACAGTGTCGCGAAAGCAACTTTGCTCCTGAGTAAAGCTGTTCTGAGCTCGGACAAGTTTGTTTGCGTCGCGATCCGAGCTGATAAACGGTCCGCGCTGCGCAGCTCAAACGTAGCATGGTTTAGTTTCGCTTTCATCTCGTTTTCCGTTTGATGTTTCTCAAATGCAACAGAAATGGCAGCGCTTTTGAGTTGGACAATGCAGTGGTCGCGCCAGTGCGACCGCTCACAAAAATTAAGTCGCAGTCTGGAGCCCTGTGCATTATATTTTAAAATGTAATTTATTCTTGAGTTGGCAAAGCTGAATTTTCAGCATTATTATTCCAGTCTTCAGTGTCACAAGATTCTTTAGGAATCATTTTAATATGCTGATTTGCTGCTCAAGAAACATTTTTTTTTTATTGTTATCAATGTTGAAAACTGCTTAATATTTTCTTTATTGACTCTTTAATGAATAGAATTCTTTAATGAACAGAAAGTTGAAAAGAACAACATTTGAAAAAGAAATGCTTTGTAAAATAATAAATGCCTTTGCTGTCTTTTTTGATCAATTTAACGCATCCTTGCGGAATAAAAGTTGCATATCCATATGAATGCAGATTCTTACAATGTTCAAGTAGGATGCAGCACGGTTCGCATAAAGCTTCTCTTTCAGGTCTTGAGAGATGATGATGTCCTCTGATTCAGCATACTCTGCTATGTTTAAGGACTCGGTGTATAATTCAACAGATCGCGCCCATTCGCCTTCAAGGAACACATCATTTGCCTCACCAAACAGATTCCTCACCAAACTCTGGATGAACACCTAGAGGAATCGATGCATAATATAAATATCTAATCAGTGCTGGATTGATTGTGAGAGGAAACCACATACCTCATACTGCTCTTGAGTGCCAGGAAAAGGCAGGGTAGACCTACGATTAAGACGACAATTTGAAACCATTAAAACACAGGGGCAAAAAACATGAGCAATGACAGAGTTGCCGGGAAACAACAGGTCATGAATTAGTGAGGTTGGGTGACAAAATGTGTAATTTGCATTCCTGAAAGTGTTTTAACTGCCACTAACTTATTTTCATAGGACTGAAATAAATCATCAGTGGATGAAGTCAGTCTGAAATTATTTCTCTCTGTTTCCCTCTACAACGCAAACTGAAGCCACTTCAGTCGTCTCTTCATGATCAAAACTTGCTGATGGTCACAGGTTTGCATACTGAACACTTACTGAATGAACTGCAAGCCCTTCTGAATGTCCTGCCACCGACTGCTTCGGTCCTGGCCTGTGGCTGACATCTTCCCATACGCGTGTAGGACTTTACTGCAGTCAACACCTATGATTTATATAAATGTATACAGAAATCAGACCTTACATTGATACATTGAAGTCTTATGTATTGACACGTGTCATATAGTGAAATAGGAAAAGTAATCGTGTTCTGCTCTCGGCTTTAAAAAAAAGCAATGCTTTCTCAACAGTGATGGAACTTTCAACTTTTATTTGTGCAACCTGGTTCTTCAGAACAGTTTGTTTCAAAGAACCGATTCGTCGATAGAACCAGGGTTCCTACACATTTTCCTTCTAAAATTCCATACTTTTCCAGACTAAAATGACCAAACCACTCAGTAGATTTTCAGACCATATTTAACATAAATGGTTCATAGAGCATTATTTTCAACTTTATGTTTGGTACATAGTACAGTCATCTGTAAATACTTTTATTTTCTCAGGGCTTTATTTATAAATTAATATTAATCACCAGACAAGTCCTCTGCAGCTGTGTTGCAGGCTGGAATTAAACCACACCCTGCTGGTTTCGTCTGGCCAGAGGAGAACTGGCCCCCTGACTGAGCCTGCTTTCTCCCAAGGTTTTTTCTCCATTTCTGTCACCGATGGAGTTTTGGTTCCTAGCCACTGTCGCCTTTGGCTTGCTTAGTTAGGGACGCTTGACTGATTGCACAGACACTATTGCAAGAGAGCTGAATCATCAATGAACTGACGTTAGCTGGAAAAAATGACTCTGTTATTGTCTTCTTGCGTTATTGACAAACAATTTTCCTGTTTGACACTGTTGACACAATCAGTATTGTATCAAGTGCTATACAAATAACAATGACACGACTTTCTCGAAGTGACAACATACAAAGCCCCTTAAAAAACCCCAGACATTTGCATGCACACAGGAAACTTTTTTTTTGTGCCTTCAAGAAAATATTGACATGCGCATGGGAATTTTTTTATGTGCTTACTCATTACAATTTCTAGTTGTTGTTTTTTTTTTTACATAGTATAACCTATAAAGTATTTATAATGTAAATAATGCGAAAATAAATTCACATATCTGGATTATTCTAAAAAAAAAAAACGTTCTGACTATCAGCTCATTCGTCGGTTCTTGGCCTATTACAAGCCCGACAGATAGAATTCTCACTTCAGTTCGGTTTTGCAAACGGATTCACGGATTCATCCGACTGAAAAGAACCATTCACTCCCAAACCTGACACCGCTGTGTTGCATGTCGGTCTATACGCGACAAAACCAGTAAGGAATGCAGTATAAAATAACATACGGTACTTCCTTAACTTTGGTCCTCTTGGCGGCAGTCAAGGGAAATTCATCGAAAAGTGGCGTCTCATATCGGTTGATGTAATATTAGCCAGAGAAAACTTCTCGCGTAGTTCATAAAGAAAACATTCGCGATAAAGAAACGTTAACTTCGTCTCAAACTGAAGTGAGCCGGGGTCCCTAACGTTTGTTCGAACGCGCATTCGACGCACTGTCTACAAAGGCAGCTGGTTGGTCATGCAAACTCTTGTGTCGCTAGGTAAACTAGCATAATAGCATTTTTACCGCGCACCTCTGCCCACTCACATCAGTTTAACAGCGGCCACCCGAACATATATACGCGAAAAATCTATGTGTTACTACCCTAAGAAACACTCACCTTAAGTAGATCAGTGTTCAGCGGGAAAGAGAGTGCTCCATACAGTCGCTAATGTTTTCATGTGTTCGTCAATCCTGTCTCTTCTATGGGCAACGTGATCTTCGTGACGTCTTGTTCACTTTTTCAGTAAGAAGCTGAAGATGTTACAGCGCCCTCTTCAGACGGACTCGAAAACAGCTGCGGTCATTTGCCATCATGGCATGCTTTCAAATATACAATTGAATATTGTATTTTCTCTATGGGATTTGAACATTTATTTAATTTGCAATTAAGTAACTATGTACATACGTGAATACAATAAGCATATTCTTTAACAGTGTGAGCAATAGTAAATTAATGCGTCTCATTTGACGCTGAATAGGCTAATAGTATGCATAACATTACTGTGTTATTGCTATGCACATTAAAGTAGTGGAAAACAAATGAAATACACGTAAAACACCTGTAAACAATTAAATAAGTAAATATTCCTAAAAAGTCCTTCTTATAAATACAGTCAGTGGTCTATTTTTATGGATTTTTTAATCAAACTATGAATAAGTTTATTTTAAAGTTTAAACGTAAGCTTGCTTTATTTATTTATTATAGTTTTTTTATGTAATTGGGGGCAGAGTGAACAAAAGTTGGCTGGAAAATATACTTTATGAAACTATTTTCACTCAGAAATTGCTGGTAAATTTCCCAAATAATTACAAATAAATGGCAAATAATACAATAAATTAAACATGATATTTTGAAGTAGAAAGGCTGATTTTTTAAAAACATGCTTAAATAATGTTTGTTTAATTTACAACTTAGAAAATTATTTTTTTTACAGCATAGGTAAAAAAAAAAAGTTAATAAAATTACCCGAGTGATTCAAGCAGATCATTAAAATATATATATACTTATGACTAAGAGTAAAATACACCTGTCATTTAGACCCATAAGAAATCCCACAAAACTGGAATCTAACACTTCATCAGTGGAATGAAAAATGGCCCTATTCTTTCCTTGGGAAACTCTGGACAATAGATTTGAAGTTGTTGCGTAAGTCTTACAGACAGTTACAATAAATGACTATAAATGTAAAACATTTAGGGATATAGTAACATAACACCATAGCTTTATATATGAGACTACACTCTTAAAAATAAAGGTGCTTCAAAAGGTTCTTCACAGCGATGCCATAGAAGAACCATTTTTGGTTCCACAAAGAACCATTCAGTCAAAGGTTCTTTAAAGAACCATCTCTTTCTTACCTTTTTATAATCTGAAGAAACTTTTTTCACCACAAAGAACCTTTTGTGAAACAGAAAGCTTCTTCAGATGTTAAAGGTTCTTTATGGAACCATTTAGACAAAAAGGTTCTTCTATGGCATCGTGAAGCACCTTTATTTTTAAGAGTGTATGGAAAAGTCTTTTAAAAGTATACAGCAAAAAAAATGTTAAATGTCTACTATAGGAATAAATATAAATGTAAAGAAAAATTGTACACATTACAATGAACACCAGCATTCACCACTTTCACCATTTTACTCTTTTCAGTCAGTATGGCTTCTCTGCAGCCACAGAGGTCTTCACGGAGCAAAAGGGGTTTGCTGGAACTAGCTGGCGTGATCAAGTGCAGCACGGGACGATCAGCTTTAACTTATGCGATGTACGGATGTTACTGTGGTCTCGGGGGTCAAGGGTGGCCCAGAGACAGAGCAGACTGGTAAGACACCACATTACTTACAAATATCTGTAGATTTGCTCTTATTAAATTTACTCCAACCATCTCTTTCTTACCTTTTTATAATCTGAAGAAACTTTTTTCACCACAAATAACCTTTTGTGAAACAGAAAGGTTCTTCAGATGTTAAAGGTTCTTTATGGAACCATTTAGACAAAAAGGTTCTTCTATGGCATCGTGAAGCACCTTTATTTTTAAGAGTGTATGGAAAAGTCTTTTAAAAGTATACAGCAAAAAAAATGTTAAATGTCTACTATAGGAATAAATATAAATGTAAAGAAAAATTGTACACATTACAATGAACACCAGCATTCACCACTTTCACCATTTTACTCTTTTCAGTCAGTATGGCTTCTCTGCAGCCACAGAGGTCTTCACGGAGCAAAAGGGGTTTGCTGGAACTAGCTGGCGTGATCAAGTGCAGCACGGGACGATCAGCTTTAACTTATGCGATGTACGGATGTTACTGTGGTCTCGGGGGTCAAGGGTGGCCCAGAGACAGAGCAGACTGGTAAGACACCACATTACTTACAAATATCTGTAGATTTGCTCTTATTAAATTTACTCCAAGCATCTTGGTCAAAGTGTGTCCATTTCTGTGGCATTCCCTCAGACATCCGGAAAAGTCTTACTCCCAGCTCTCCCACACACAAAATTACAATTTCCCTTAACCTCAGTTAAGGATGCAGAGACCAATATCTCCATTCCCAGTGAAAGAACTCTTCGGAAGTGGACAGCGGGTTGAACACGAATAAACAAAACTGCTAATATTATTCCACCACATTCCACCGAGGGACTGCTCAATCTAATCTTACAGAGTCAGCAGTTTATCTGGCCGACATTCTCAGCGGCCCTCCATGTATGAGATCACGTTGTATTTCTGCAAGTCTACTTGAATTATAAGTTACATAATGAGAAAACAATTCAAAACCAGACAGAACTGGGCTAGGTCCTCTGTGCCATTTCATTACAGATGATCTCAAGGTCATTTGTTCTTCTTTAGGTGTTGCCACAAACATGACTGCTGTTATGGGGATGCAGAATTCGCAGGCTGTCAGACCAAAACAGACAGGTATCTGTGGACGTGCGAAGAAGAGGAGGCTGACTGTGGTATGATGTGTTATTTAGATATTAAACAGGCATATTTACATTCTTTTAGAATCACGTTTTGCATTACAATAGCCTGGGATCGAAATAAGAAAGAGAAAAAGTCAGTAAAGCTTAAAAGGGGATAGTGAACTTGTGGAAACATATGACTACGAACGTTTTGTTTGGTCTTTTCCTTCAGCTTCAGGAAGTAGTAGTAATACAGGGTGTGTATTATAACAGATGGAAGACTTCAGGCTAAACACAGGCAGTGTTTTTAACCAAACCACAAGATATTTTAAGATCTTGTTCCCGCAGTAAACACAATAACGGGCTATAGGAAACACATTGTTGAAGAGGCATAAAGTGATGGTTTTAATGCATGGTTAAAATATGGTTTCCTTCACTCTGTATGCAAACTACTCATTTTACACAGCCAACAATTTACATTTATGTCTTCAACACAGACTCGCATTAGATATTAAACAGGCATATTTACATTCTTTTAGAATCACGTTTTGCATTACAATAGCCTGGGATCGAAATAAGAAAGAGAAAAAGTCAGTAAAGCTTAAAAGGGGATAGTGAACTTGTGGAAACATATGACTACGAACGTTTTGTTTGGTCTTTTCCTTCAGCTTCAGGAAGTAGTAGTAATACAGGGTGTGTATTATAACAGATGGAAGACTTCAGGCTAAACACAGGCAGTGTTTTTAACCAAACCACAAGATATTTTAAGATCTTGTTCCCGCAGTAAACACAATAACGGGCTATAGGAAACACTCAGTATATTGTTGAAGAGGCATAAAGTGATGGTTTTAATGCATGGTTAAAATATGGTTTCCTTCACTCTGTATACAAACTACTCATTTTACACAGCCAACAATTTACATTTATGTCTTCAACACAGACTCGCTTAATGACAGATGTGCGAAAATCCTTTGCCGATGTGACAGGGAAGCAGCCAGATGCCTCCGAAAGGCACCGTACAACCAAAAATATGCTCTGTGGCCAGATTTCCTCTGTGGATGTGTTCATCCTACCTGTAACATTTACTAATGTCATTTACTAAAAATTGGGTAAACAAATCTTTTTGAGCTTGTATTGTATGTTTGATGTTTATCACAGACTTTATTCTGTTCAAATGATTTCTATTTTCTACATATGTGTATTTTCTATTTGCATAGTTGACTTTCAAAAGTGAATGGATTAAAATATGTGCAAAATAATCACAGTATTGTTAATTTTTTAGATATGGCTAAATTCAGTCATGATATCAGTGCGTTTTCTGAATGGCACTGCAGGGGAGAGTGGGGTTAGTTGTTTCTCAGCGTAGGCTTATTAAAGTAAATGTGTCACAAACAATAGGTAGAGTACTGTCAGGACCTCCGCATGCAGACACAATACGCAAAATATCTGCAAGACATACAGGATTGGCACTTCCTGAGAAACACTGTGCCTTTGATGTTCTGATTGTATGGACCATTTGGTTCACACCTTAACAGACAGAGAAGCAATTTATTGCATCTGGCGCACAGTCAACTTAATAGAATTTGATATTCACACCATCTAATAAATGCAACTGACATAATCTTTCAATAGTCAATTTAATGGCTTTTTTAATCAAAATTCACTCATGAAACAACAAAAAACAAAAAAAGACACGGTTACATGCAAAAATAAAAAATCAAACGATTGTTTATGCCAAAAGAAATTGTAATAAGTTTATTATAAAATATCAAAATGTTATCAAACATCAAACTTTAGCCCTGGTAAGATGAATGAATGAATGATCACAGATTTCATACTGATTGTGCACTTTACAGACAACAGGCAACATTTAAATTAAATGTCACTTTCACAGGGCCCAATAGGGGGCCTCAAACTTCCATAGTGTGCTTAAAGCAACTGTAAGTTTTTTTTCAAACTTGAAATCAGTTTCAAAATCATTCTGATGATACACTGACTCACAATAAGGCCAATATCGTTAGTTTCTTTCCCACACTCTGCCTCAAGCTTATGTTCGAGTATGTAAGTCTGGTAAGCGGGTACAGGTATACTCATTTACTGCAGCAACCAATACACATCTACAGCAATCCACTGTAATTAAAACAGTTATATATTTACGACATGGAATTACATTTAACTGTTGGGGGCTCCAAAGTCACAAAAAACACAAAATACAGCTGCTTTAGGAAAGGGGTCTCCACACTCGGTCCTGGAGGGCCGGGGTCCTGCAGAGTTTAGCTTCAACAACAATTAAACACAGCTGAACCAGCTAATCAGGGTTTTACCAGGCAGGAGTGTTGAGGCAATTTGGAGCTAAACTCTGCAG